AAATAGCTGTTTTATCTGCTCCATGTACTACGTTCGTGTGTAATCATTAGTATAATGAATGTTACACGACAACAGAAAAATAGATAACACATGTCTTCGGTTGAGTAAATTGCTACATACATTTCAAAAGTAATAATCTTCATTGACAAAAAAACTCTTACTCTTTTCATTATACCCGTCATTAACTACGTTTAAGCCCAATATGGGCAAACAACATGAATCATACAAAAGAGGTAAACAGTATCTAATAATATGGTATACATTAGATCGATGGACAGTGTTTCATTCATTCATGATGCACTTACTATCGCTAAGCTCAAAAACGTACGTTCACACATACAGAAAAAAACATCAAAGAGATAACTTTTCTCTCCAAAGACAATTTGTACAAAGAGAGAAAACTACTATAGGTATCACTGTCCATTTAAATACTTGAGCCAATCACACGCACAAACCTACAACACGCGAAGAAACAAACAAAAAAAAGGCTTGAATACAAGCAAGGTAGAGGAGCAGCAGCAAGAACAACAACAACAAAAAAGTAAACCAGATGAGTGTTTTTCAAGGTGTTCCATGCTCAACAAATAAAAAAACAAAAATGCTGCCGAACCCAAGAAATATAAAAATATAATGAATATATATACAAAGAGAGAAAAAAAACCGGGATAACCAAAATCCTTGTTAGTTTTAGAATTTTTCAATCTATTTTCTTATTGTTGTTGACGAGGCGGATGCGGTAATAATAGTGGCGGTGGCAATCGTGATTGATGTCTAAATACAAGCTGTTCGCCAGATTCATTTGTCATTGGAGTCTGATTTGGTGATAATAAAACTAAATTTGTTATTAGTGATTGTTGTTGTTCATTAGTTGAATGGTGTTGTGATTGCACCTGTTCATTATCATCTATTTCTGTATATGTCTAAAAGATTCAAATAAATCAAAGTTACAGTTAGATTGATAGTAGTACGAATAATAAAAACTTACAAATTTTCTTTTTTTAGGTGGGGCGGTAACAACTGGGCAATGTTGAGGTGATAATGAACTATTATGCTGTTCTTGCGTTTTTCCATCAGTATATATTGGACTTGTTACAACCGAGCGGTGCTTTTGCTGTTGTTCTTGATCATAATTGATGATATTAACTGGATTCATTTGATAACTAGATGATGAACCGGTTGCCGTTGTTTGTTGTTGAAATTGTTCATTTAATAGTTGTTGTATACGAGCCGGTATTTCAAGACTAGTTGATGATGAGTCTTTAGACGAAGGATAATTTGAATGTTGCTGATATACATGTACCGGCCTCTGTGTATGATAAACATATTGATTTGGTGGTTGTTGAGTTATTGTAGGAGATGTGTGTGTTGAATTAGTATTCGCGCTTAGTTGTGGCGTCGCTATCACGTTAATCGACGATGTAGATGGGTCATTTCCATGATGATGATACGATTGTTCAGTTGATGTTGTTAGTGAGTCAAGGACATTATCGCCTGCAGTTAAATATGATGTATTAGGAAATGAATATGGCAATACCTGTCTATGGACGATCAATAAGCCTGTAGTAGATAAATTTCTTTAAAATATCATAAGCTTTTACCTTCTAAATGTCGTATAGCTTCAACAATTGTTTGTAAATTTCTTCTTGAAACAGTTTGTTCCATATTGTGTGGTATTGTTGCCATTGTAGACGTTAAATCAGATGAATTTTGTTGGTTATTTGAATCCATACTACTTGTTCTTAGATGACATCGCTCAACGATAACAATTCCACTATCGTTTTCGACCTTACTATTAGAATCTAGTGAATTCGTTTTATATCGTTGTATAGGTATATTAGGTCCTCCATGTTGTTTTAATATGAAATATGTTTCAGTGGCAGTGCTCAACGGTGCGATTGTTGTTGTATTATTGTTGTGAGTGTTACTATTTGCTGTAGGCGATGAACGCGATACTGCAGAATTAGGAGATGTATTCGTTGGTGATGACCGCTTATGATCAGGAATAGATTTAACAATAGAATGATGTTGAACAACATTTCCATGATTAACATTTGTATTGAGCGTATTAGTATTTTGTTGAGAGTTATTATTGAACGACGATGTTGCTGCGCGAGATGAAGTCGAACGATTGTCGTAAGCAGCTGAATATGGTTGAGTATCGGATAGAATATGTCGTGGTGAGGTACCAACAAATAGACCTCGATTGTGCTAAAGTATATAAAGAATAAAAGATTTGATATACAAATTATTCTCGCAGATTTTTAAATAGCAGATCTACTGTGTAAGATATATTGCACTGTACACGTCAGCTATATTCGTGCTTCATATCCTTCTACGATGAGCAAGTTAGTAATACATACACGGTCGTCTTTTTGTGTAACATAATGTGCAACGTTTTCAAATGCATGCCAACTCTGGATAATCGCTTGTTGTTTCTTAACATCATGTAATATACGTATTTGTTCATCATTTGATAGTTTTGCACTTAAATCAGATGATATTTCTTCGTCATCTTTTTCATTTAATAACAAAACAGCTTCATCAGGGTCTAGGTATAGAATACACGTGATTATTTTTCTGGCTTGAAAGAACAGAAAAGACAAAAATGTTGTCTTTCTTCATAATAATCATCTACCATACTGTCATCTCATCTAACGTACAAAAACTGGTGGATGATAGTCACAAAGAAGAACAGCGTTAAACAGAATCAAAAACCACAATTATTCTGCAGATAAAGAAAAATAGGAATTTTTTTTAAAACCAAAGCCATCCTATACTTAATTTAAGATGAAAAAAAACGCCTACCTGTTGTAGATAGTCTTCGTTGAGCTTGTAAAACACTTGTTGAATCAATCTGAAAACTTTTAATTAAAATACGAAACTGTTCATTTTGTGTTTGTAATCTGTCTTTGTCCGTTTGCAGGGTTTTAATATGATCTGCTGCACGCTGTAAAATGCATGCCTAAAAACAGACAAATAAAAGGTATATCAGAGATACTTCAGATTTGTTCTCAGGTTAGACGGCTACACTTGATCTAAGCAAACTACTAACTTTTTCTCTGAATGAACAAGTCACTTTAGTTCATCAAAAACTCGCAGAGCAAACAAATATCTTCGGTTCAATTTAAGACTAATAATGTGTTATTATACAGCTATTATTAAATTCAGCACTTGGAAAGAGTAGAAGTCTTCTTATTCCAAACAACTGTGTTTCCGTTGAGAAAACGTAGCCAAGACTCAGCTGATTGTTGAGCCATTACAAGTTTACGTGTAATTATTCTAGTATTATGTTCTTTTTTACGGTGACACACGAGCTCCTATAATATTTTTAATCGTTTCTCGACATCATACATTAAGTGGATACATTATATAATTCATAGTTAATCGTCTGTCTCAGATTAATAATTCATTAGACCTTGACAGTGGTAAATATTAACTTTCCTTTCAACCAAGAGCAAACATTATCAGTGAAAAAGATCCGAAAGATAAGCAGTAATTTCCGGATGAAACAGAAAAATTTTCGTTTGTTAGAATAATGCTAAAACGAGTTTTTTTTTCTTTTTCGTTATGACTTTTGCATAACACAGTAATTTGTCTGAACATATATAATGAAAAATCATTTCTTCCGTTCAAAATAATTGCAAAAGTTGAAACCTCGAACAGTATGACACGAGGCCGTTCGATTAGTACTGAATATAGCAATGTTTACAACTAGGTAAATTCTTTAACTAACTAAAGAAAATTATATAACTATAAAACTTCTCATAGCGAAAGCAGGTGTAGCGATTTTGTAGTAGTGGAAATACTGATACTGAAACAACTGATAAACAACAAGGTCAAAATAGAGTGAACGATTGTAAGTTCATAATAAAAGATTTTTCTTCAACGTGAACATTCACTAATCTTTATAATCTGGAGACTGAGAGTCTTAGCCGTCTAAAAGGGTTAAAATTTGACTCGATAGGTCGTAGAAGACAGGCATTCATCATGTCGCAACCGCCTAACATAAATAAAAAGCCTTTTCTTTTCATTCTGATCAAACGTAAAAACGTAGAAAAGAAAATAATAATCATAGCTACATCTGTCATACAGCAACATTTGTGCTGCTGCTGTGGCTATTAATGATAAACAAGCAGGAAAAAGATTATTTTTTCTCTTTTTTCTCTCAAGGCTTTTTATATTAATCTTACTCAACCATGGACATGATACATTCCAACCGCACATCATCTGACTGGGTGCAGTACACAAGTTCACATATTAGAAAACAATAAAAAAATTTGCTCGAAAAACATTTTTTACTTTTACGCTTTATAATTTTAGAGAGAGACGTCTCACATTTTTGGAATAAAAACAGAGAATAAAATCACCAAATATTATCACACATTACAACATACCTTGCTAAGTTTTTCTCCACATGAATGTGGTATCAGCTGCTTCAAACTTTGAAAACCGGTATTAATTGATTGCATACGACGTCTTTCATTAGAATTGGCTATTTCTCGTCGTACACGTTTTTCATGCTCTAATTGTGAATTGGGTGACATTGTACCAACACGGCTAAAACAAAAACAAGCATTTACAAGTGGTGACATCTACATATACAGTCTCATTCACAAAATATTTCATTAGTCAACACAAAGATATTTCAGCATTGTTCTACGTTATTTCGCTGGTATTTCATAAGTACATTATAGTATTAAGCAAATCACTCAATACTTCAAGATAACAAAAAGTCAAAAGTTCTTTTGATACATGGGGACTTCCCTCGATAAAGATAAAGAAAGAAAACACTATTCTAATATTTATTAGGTTTTTCAGGTCTTTTTTCATCGATACTGTCAGTGCAAACAACAACTATTATATTATAAAAATTATCTGATGTCTGCGATGAAAACTACTCAGAAGATTTCTCCGAAATCTTTTGAATCGAATAACAACCGCCATGTCTGCTTCCAAACTCCACTTGAAATTTTGGTCTCGGTCACACTTTTGCAGACTATAAATGGTAGTAGTCCTGAAAACCAAGGTTGTACAATCTTCTTAGTTTCCTCACTTTATAGAAGGTGAAGTCTAGTTGTGGATAAAACCATTTTTTCCTCACTGCATCCCAACTCAACAGCTGAGTTATTTTCATACCCAATAGGCGGTAAAAGTTCGAATTACTTTGACTGTACAACTTACAAAACAGTTATATGGACTTTTTGAAAGCATCGAACATTTATCGACTGTTCAGAGAGTAAATCGTCATATTTATGAAGCACTGCCGAACTACTGCCGATTCGCAGTTAAAAGAACATTAAAGAACAGAGTATTCTGCGTGCAGCTATGCTGTGTCACATAGTCTTTTTCGTAGAAGGATAATCTGCAAAAAGTCTTGAATTTAATAAAAAACCGAACCGTTTTGTTTACACCAGTATGTCATCTTACAACAATAACAGACGGTATTTTTACTGTTATTCTCACTTATCTTTCATTGAACTATGTACGAAAAAGTCTACCACGTCTTATCAGCCATCTATAGACAAGATGAAAACAGAGCATTTCGATCTGTGTACACGAACACAACTAGGTGAGGATGTCCAAAAACTGTGTCCAAGTAATGTTTTTTACTAAGTGCTCAAAATTCATTTCCCCACTGTTTGATTATATAGGCATAAAAAAAATTTGCTGTTCTGAATAAAAAATTGACTTTTGTTTGTTCAAGAAACTCGTATTTTTCTTTTTTGCCTCATTTTCTCTGTTCCCAATACGTCGCATGAATATAAATGTGTCTATATATCTGTATCCACATTTAGATATTGTGACCCGCACTGAACCAGTATGAAGATAATGTGTTAGATGAAAAAAACAACCCACGGAAAAAAAAGAGAACAGAACACAAACACATACGCATCTATGTATAATAATAATGAACAAATTCTTTGACTATCTCTCGATACCCACGCGCAGTATGTGTGGAAAATTTTTTTTTCTTCGCTTTTCCTCTCTTGATCATAGGCCAACATCTTTGCTCAAAAAAAAACTAAAAAAAGTGGTCTTTCATTCACAATAAACAGACGTGTATTCTATTCGAACACTTCAACGAAAGTAGCGGATTGTGAATTAGGGAAACCAGAAATTTGGATCAGTATCGGAACTTTAGATGAATACATAGTGCGTATAGCTGCTATTGAACAAATGGTGAAGATTATGTCGATCTGTCAAAAATAATAAATAATAATTACCTGACGTGACTTAGTTTTTGAGATTCTGGCATCATACGAGAAAACGTATTGCTATCGGTATCATCTGAATATGATTTGTTCATACAATAGGAATTATCGAAAATTAGATATTATGAATAAGGAAGGAAAAAATGAGTAATAAACTTAAACCGCAAAACGATATGTATACTGATAATCGAATAATAGAAACAAAGCGCCGTAACGATTAATAATAATAATAAATACAAATAATTATCGATAATGGATTAGTATATTAGATCTAGAATAGATAAACTCTCTAAAAAATGTAACTTACCACTTTCAGTCTGTATGCGTATGAAAGTGAGTGTGTAGTACTCAAAAAAAAAAAAAGTACACAGTATGATTATTATGATGATGATGCATTCATTAACAACGCATACATCAGCTGAAAAAAGAGAAGAAAAATTTATACTTTCAAGCTACTATACACATACGTTCTCGTAGACGATGAAGAATAAAGAGAAGTTTTTTCATGCTGAGTTATTTGGATGAGTGTGTGTATGCGTGGACATTTGCTTGTTTTGTCGACGTATAGAAAAAAAGAATGGGAAGAAGAAAAAAATAACAGCTGAAATTAACTACTATTTGATTTTGTGTGTGTATGTATGTATGTGTATTGAATGATTATCTATGTGTTCCTACTTTTGTGTTGGCATATATAGATGAAATAAAAAAAAGAGAAGAACTGGCGCGATAGAAAGCCAATTGGATTGAAAAGAAATAAAATGCGTAAATATATCCGATTCGTTTATGGCCGACGACAGTTTTTTTTTTTTATTAAATCACATGATACGTTTTTTTCTTCTGGTTTTTTGCTTTATGATGTCTGTTTGGCTTTTGTCCAATTTTTTTTCTACCTGTATGATGTTTGTATCTAGAACAGACAAAGGAACATAGAATGATGTGAAGTGTATATAGTTGATCATACTATTATCGCTAAAACATATGAAAGTAAAAATAGAAGGAATCAAATGTCAATTGGCATTTTGCCAAAGGATCGTTGGAAAAAAGAAAAATTGAATCATATGAACTTGGAATATAACGTGTAGATAAGTTCGATTAGTTTCCATATGTTTGGCAATATACGTAGATGGGAAAAAAAAGGAAAAAATATATTTATACATGTTCAAAACAAAGAGAAAAAGAGAAGATAATTTGTTGGATTATGGCCAAACACATTCTGATTATTAAACTAGAAAAAAGCATATTGTTTGCAATATTGTCCTGATTTATAAAAATAAACGTGAAGATATATAAAAAGACGATAGAATAAAGATGAAGATGGACAGTTACAAAAAAGAGAAAATTAGTGGAATGTTTCTGAGTACATGTACATATTTGGATTTTTTAAATATTTGTAATCAGATTTTAATGAGGACAAATACTGGTCCTACTACCTGAATGTAAAGCTAGGTTTTATTTATTTTTGGCTTACAGACTGTCACTGTCTTGGCAAAGAAAAAAGCACCACACATATCGTCATGGGACTGCGAACTGGAACGAATTGGAGAACCTTAATCTCCTTCCTATCTGACCAGATGGATTGATAAGCATCTATTATATGCTTAAAGTTCTTAAAGAACTTTTTTTGTATGTGGTTATGGACTCAGATAATCATTAATGAAGATATGAACAATAGGGAAGGCCTCGAGAATGATCATAATATTTTTCCAGTTTCGAATGATACAATAGAACTGAGTGAGGTTATCCCATATATCTTGAATGAAATACGAAAAATAATGGATGATTCAGTGGAACTTCTAGTGGTGAAGATCAGTACAGACATGTCAAGATTTTGAGTGTCAGCTTTTTGTTCTTGACTGTTCCATAGCTAGATTAGACAAACTCTTCCTCGATCGACAATACTAGAATTAGGAAGATATTGGCTATAACAAGTTTTACTACTGTGCGATTAAACTTAGTCTAGTGGAAGATATGACCAGAGTAAAAGATTTATGAATTTTCTACAGGATCTTAGACATATCCTACTAGGATTTCATTTAAGCTTTTTATTATGATGGCAAAACTTTATGAAATTCAATCAGGATTTGTTAGGATCCCGAAAAGCTTAAGCGAAATCCTAGAAGGAAATGAATAGGAAGTGCATGAAATTCTGTCTAAGGAATCAGAGACGCCACAACGGTGCACTGATGGGAGCTACCCTAAAAATAAATGGTTGTTTCGAATTTTGGAACCATTTCAAGATTTCGTACAGAAGGTGTTAGTGCGACTCCTCCTAATTTTTTCGTTCAGAAAAGGTTCCATATGGAGGGTTTCGTGTCGACCTTTACGTCTAAGTTTTCTTGATCGTAAGTTACAAGCTAGAAAAAGGTTGATCTTGTCTTTCAGTCGACTGAGTGAAACTCCTGAGACTTATTGCTTTTTCACTCCCAGTGTTGCCTAGCAAAAATGTTCTTTCTCTCTTTCTAGACTTTATTTTCGCGTTCGAGTCAACCACTCGTTCTCGGTTATCTCTGATCGTACCGATTTGATGAAAAGAGCATTTAAAAGTAGAAGAATCAGAGATGACACATCCGATAGGATAATGAATCAGCTGATAAGTCAGCTGAATCAGGGGCCTGTTTCTTAAAAAAACTTAAGTAGAAAATCTGACTTAAGTCAAACTTAAGTCCAAAAAAGTCTTTGTCTTTTTTAACTTAAGTAAGATTTTCTACTTAAGTTTTTTTAAGAAACAGGCCACAGTACCATATCATACATTCTGCTATAGGTTTCATCATATCAAGCACTATATGACTGTCCTCTTCCCGTTGAACATAATCTTTCTGAAGAAAAGTCAAATTGTAATAACTTTCTAGATCTTCTAATTTCGTCTGTTTACCGTTTCACTCAGTCGACTTTCCAATCTTTCCATAGGGTAGTTAGCCTCTAGTTTTTTATTCGCAATTAATTTTCTTCTTAATTCTTGCTCATTACGCTCTTTTAACGGGATTTAGAAACGTTACTGCAAGTATAATAAGAACAAACAAAGTGGCGCGTTTCGATTTCTTTTTTAAACTGTCTGTATGTGATTTCAAAGCAAGACAATTTATAGTCTTTGTTTTCAATTAGAAGCGCTGTGTATAAAGGTTTTATCAGCCTTTCTGGAATCAGAGTCTCCAAAAAATCAAAACCAACGTTTTTGATACGAGTTTTGGGAGAGGGTGGAAAGTTTGCTGAGTAACCGAAGCTTTTTTTGATTTACGTCTTTGTTAACTGAAATTTTTTTCCGAGTAACTGCATGTTTGAAGCTGATCGAAGACTGATATTTTTCTTATCATATTTGTTTTTAAAATAAGATT